CATCTGACTACCTAGAGAGTCACACAAAGTTCATCTGAACCTTAGAGCATCCATCTTCAGCCTACAGGTCTAGAGTATCTGACCAAATTTTCAGTGAGGCAGAAAATTTGAAAAACTGTCCCACCTTGTTTTGGGATAGTTCAGCAGTCACTCTCCTATGTATCCTGCAGAATGTCTGCTAGACATTTCTGTCAAGCAGTAATGTTGAAGATAGTCCTGATTCGTTTTAGAAAAGTTCAGCAGTCACTTTCCTGTGTATCTGCATGTCCAGTTTATACAGCATACGGTAAACAGTCAAGACAAAAAGGTTCTTGCCCAAATATGGCTAGCCTTCTCACATTGAAAGCAGACTCCATATGGAGTTTCATTGATGCCCATCAGATATGTTTCATTGTCATGAAAAATATTAATTTATTAAACAGCTTAAATTCCATATTCTGTAGGTCTTTGAAGTATTAGAAACTCATCTAAAATAGACCTGTTTAACCTTGAAAACATACCAAATGTGACTATGTTTGATTACTATAGATTAACTACTAATTTTTTCTTAAATAATTAGAATAATTGCATTTTCAAATAAGTGATATATAAATTTAAAAAACAAAGAAAAAACCAAATAAGTGATATAAACACAATGCACCAAACAAGAGTAGGAACATATACAGTATAACAAAAATGACTTTAAATTTGTTTTACTATACCAAAATAAATGGAAATACAAAATATCTGAGATTGATGGTTGCCTTTTAAACCTATATTCCTATATTCCTCTCAATTATAACAAACACCCATGACCCACAAAATAACCAAAAGTTTCCTGCACCCAAACTCTTAGGAATGTAGGCATCTTTTTCTCTAGACAGCTTCTTGTTGTCTGTAGGTGAAGTTATTTTTAAGGGTGCCTGAGAAAAATTGAGATAACTGCAAAATCCTGGGAAGACCACTGGTAACCTTAACTGATATATATCACCTGTCAAGACTCAGGAGGTCTTCCCTAATCAAACCTGATCCATATTAACCTGGAACAAATCCATGGCCTGCAGAAACAAAAGCAAAACTGCTTTACCAAAGCATTTTTTATTTTCTTTCAGCAAATACTTTTGACCTCTTTTTTAAAGTTAACGTCATCCCCAAAATATCTAGGCTGGTTCAGCTTTGCAGTCCTGTTCACAATAACATGTCTACCAGCAGTTGTTGTTTGCTTCTCAGCAATCAAAAAATTTTAAATCAACACAATACTATATATGATCCAGATTCCCTGTGTAGTTTCCATCATTGTGTGACTTTTTATTTTTTATTACTTTCACTTTTATGAGTTTATTATTTCTGAACTGTTTATTTCTTTCAATAACTACTTATACACTTTTTCTTTCTTTCTTAAACATGCAGGCATGGTTAAACACACTTGAACCTTTTTAGAGGTATTTTAATATCTGGACCTCTTTAATGCATATCTTTTAGCTTTTTTTTTTAACCTGTGAGCAAACTGTAATCTGCTAAGTTACAGCTATGTTCTCCGCATGACTCTTGGAGCTGGCTCTGTGGCTCTGGTAACTGCTTCTGCCCACTTCTTGGATCATGAAAGCCTGGTCTAAAGCTTGCTGCCTGGAGGGAGGTTTGTTTGATGAGGATTTGCATTCAAACCCCAGAACTCTAAAATGCCAATGCCTGTACTGTCACATTTTTTTTCTTAGTATTTTGTTTCAATTAATTGTGGAAAAAGGCTATTTAACTGCCCTGCTTTATGTGGCAGAGTTTCTTTCTTTCTTTCTTTCCTTATTTATTTATTTATTATGTATACAATATTCTGTTTTGCGTGTATCCCTGCAGGCCAGAAGAGGGCACCAGACCTCATTACAGATGGTTGTGAGCCACCACGTGGTTGCTGGGAATTGAATTCAGGACCTTTGGAAGAGCAGGCAATGCTCTTAACCATTGAGCCATCTCTCCAGCCCCATGGCAGAGTTTCTTAAAGGAGACATTATCTTTTTTTTCTGTTTTCTCAGGCACTAGAGATATTAATATCCTCTCATTGGTATGCCAAAACGTAGTTGGTTGTTTTCACTTTTTTGCTCTTTGGGAGCCTACCACCGAGATCCCAAATAAACACAAGGTGTCTTATTATTACTTATAAATGACTGCCCTTAGCTTGGCTTATTTCTACCCAGCTTTTCTTAACTTCAATCATCCCAGCCATCTTTTGCCTCTGGGCTTTTGTCTTTCTCTAATCTATATACCTTTCTTTGTTTCTTCGTGGCTTGCTCTGTTACTGGGTGACTGGCCCCTAACATCCTTCTCTTATTCTCTTGACCCTTGATCCTCTCTTCCTCCTATTTATTCTCTCTGCCTGCCAGCCCAAGCCTATCCTTTCTTCTGTCTGACTATTGTTTATTCAGCTCTTTATTAGACCAATCAGGTGTTTTAGGTAGGCAAAATAACACAGCTTTACAGAGTTAAACAAATGTAACATTAAAAAACGCAATACATCTTTGCATCATGAAACTAATATTCCATAGCATACAGGAATTTAATATATCTTGAACTAACATTTCACAACAGACAATGAACTAAAGGAAACTAAGGAAGGCTGAGGTTGGGCAGGGGGAAATAGTCTTCCTCAGTGATGTGTTCCCTAATTTATTATACAATAATACCACATGGTCAGCCCTGAAATCAAGTACATGCAAGTGCACTAAACAAACTCAGCAGGTTGCATTTATATACCCATTATGTGTGTGTATGTGTGTGTAGGTAATAGATAGAAAGATAGATATTATAGATAACATAATTCAAAAAACATGACTGAGAGGGAGCAAATGGGATATGGAAACATGGGAGGGTATGGAAAAAAGAAAGAGGAAGAGGAAATTATTTCATTATCTGTTATTTTAAATTTAAAAATAAAATGGCTTTTTAAACACTAAAAAATTTAAGCATTAAATCATTCCATGTGTATGAATATTTTATCTGCAGTTATGTATGTATATATGCGTACCATATAGGTGCCTGATGTATGCAGAGTCCAGAAAAGAGTGACATTTCTCCTGGAACTGGAGTTATAGACTCCACCATGTGGGTGACAGGAATCCAACCAAAGTCCTCTGAAAGAGCAGCAAGTGCAAACAAAATAATAAATAATAATAATTATGTCACCAACTTTTTTTCTTCAGTTGTGGCTTCCTGGATCTTGGCTATGTACTTAATACCTATTGAAGATTTTCCTAAAACAAAACCAAAAATAATAGCTAGAATTGAACCAAACATCTAAAGCATGCCAGAATACTTGACAACTTTCTAAATATTTAGAAGCACATCAAATTTTTATTTTGCTACTTTTAATGTTTCCTATACAATTACATAGCAAGTTCCATACAGGTGTTCCTTGTATTCTCTCACAAATGTTTTTGTAATGCTTCTACTGTTAGTTTAACTGTACATTTAACAACATGTTTTTTTTCTGCTGATCATTCATCTTTAACAATACAGTAACATTTGTAAATTAATGCTACACTATTATGCTAACACTAGTCCTGTTATGTAAACATTAGCTTATCTTTATTTTCTATACACATGAATGTATCATCAGCACTTATGGGGTTATTATTATATATGCATTATGTATACATATGTTCAAGATATTATTGTTTTTTACCAATGAGTAGAACTCTAAAGTATATATGTGCCACACCTTACTTATCCATTCTTCTATTGAGGGGCACCTAGGTTGTTTCCAGGTTCTGGCTATTACAAACAATGCTAGTGTGAACATAGTTGAACAAATGCTTTTGTAGTCTGATTGGTCATCTCTTGGGTATATTCCCCAAAAGTGGAATTGCAGGATCCTGAGGTAGGTTGACTCCCAGTTTCCTGAGAAACCACCACACTGATTTCCAAAGTGGTTGCACCCTCTTTGCATTCCCACCATCAATGGATGAGTGTTCCCGTTACTCCACATCCTCTCCAACATAGGCTATCATTGGTGTTTTGGATTTTAGCTATTCTGACAGGTATAAGATGGTATTTCAAAGTTGTTTTGATTTGCATTTCCCTGATCGCTAAGGGGGTTGAACATGACCTTAAGTGTCTTTTGGCCATTTGAACTTCTTCTGTTGAGAATTCTCTGTTCACTTCAATACCCCATTTTTAATTGGGTTAATTAGAGTTTTAATGTCTAGTTTCTTGCATATCACCATAGAACCTTCATCTGGCGATGGATGGAGACAGAGACCCACATTGGAGCACTGTACTGAGCTCCCAAGGTCCAAATGAGGAGCAGAAGGACAGAGAACATGAGCAAGAAAGTCAGGACCATGAAGGGTGCGTCCACTCACTGAGACAATGGGACTGATCTAATGGGAGCTCACCAAGGCCAGCTTGACTGGGACTTATGGAGCATGTGATCAAACTGGACTCTCTGAATGTTGCTGTCAATGAGAACTGACTGAGAAGCCAAGGACAATGGCACTGAATTTTGATTCTACTGCATGTACTGGCCTTGTGGGAGACTAATCTGTTTGGATGTTCACTTCCTAGACCTGGATGGAGCGGGGAGGACCTTGGACTTCCCACAGGGCAAGAAACCCCGACTGTTCTAAGTACTGGAGAGGGAGGGGGAGAGGGAGTGAGGGAGTGGGAGGGAATGGAAATGAGAGGAGGGGAGAAGGTGGAAATTTTTAATAAATAAATTTTTAAAAATCTTAAAAAAATTTCCCTATTTAATTTGAAACAGAGATTGAAAACCATGTTTTCTATTATTTTTACTTTTCATTCCCATCTTATATAACTCCACGCTACTTCTTGCCATTAAAATCATCCTTTTCAAGTCCTAAAATGGTCTTTGGACCTGACATTTATCTTAAAACTATGATCAAACCTCATTCACCATATAAGTCAAATTATGTGTGCACAATAAATAGACAAGTTCTGTGGCTGTGTGGTGTTCTTCACAGGAAGAAGAGACACCTCTACATTGTCAGTCTCAGACACAGAAATTACCCAGATATCTCTACTTTCAGTTTCAAACCATTGCCAGGGACAAGACCACCTTTCCTAGGTGAGTAGAAGGCTTTGGTTCACAAGACACAGGACCTCCCTTCTCTGCCCAGGTCTGTGAGTGTGCATGCTTATGCGTGTGTTTCTAACAACTGTTTTCCAGGAAATGGGAGTTCTGTGTCAAGTTAGGGAAGTTCTATAACTATTTACACTGTAAGGTAATTCTAGCCTAAGTGTTCAAGTAGAATTGCTGAATGAAAAGAATAATTTTCTTGTCTGTGGTGTTATTTTCTTTAACATAGTATCAAGTGTCTATTATCAGGGCACGTGGACTGAAGAGTAAGAAATTGTGGTGTTGAGGTAAGAAGCCATACCTCTTAAGCAAAATCTCTTTTGGGGATTAGAAGGGTAACATTTGAATGAGAATTCTCATGTCTATGAAAGGTGCTTTTGCTTCTGAGATAACACAACTTCACAGTCAAGAAGAGGCAACTTGTATCCATTTCATCCAATTATCATAATCAAATATGAATAATATCCATTTTTAAAATCCAAGCACTATTTATTAAATAGCTACTCTCTGGGAACACTGATAAATAATATAAAATGTTACAATAAAAACATATATAAAACTGTTGATGAAAATAGTAACATTTTATTGATGGTAATAAATGGAATATTACTAAAAGATAACAAGAAAATGTATCACAAAAATTCATGTATCTGACATGATTTTATCTTACAAAAAATGTGCATCACCAAATAAAAATTATGAACAGAAAATTGTACATGCTAATGTTATACATCAGGAAATCAAATACTTTTATCAAATATCTCAATGTAAGTAAATTCAAAATATTTATTATATTTTTGTGGTATTTAGAAACAATGAGTCTTTATTTTACAATTAAAATGTTAGTTAATTTCTCCTAGTCTTGGAGGAGCAGTCATTTTTATTATTTCAGGTTTAAGGGAATTTTTTCTGTATTTTACTTGTCCAATATTTCATCTCAGTACAAAGATAGTAGAACAAATTCTGTATAATCTACCTTATTTGTTCAAGAGTCCTTTGGCCATTACAGAAATTAGACCAGAGCCAGGAGTGGTGGCACATGTTTTAATTCCAGCACTCATGAGGCAGACACGGGGTAAATCTGGAAAATCTGAAGCCAGTTTGGTCTATATTATAAGTTCTAAGATAACCAGGGCTGCATAGAGACACACGGTCTCAAAGCAAGTGGTCAACTAATTGTATAACAAACCCCAGAATCTGGATCTGTTCCCGAAATAAATGTGTCATACTCATCACACGATGACATCGACTCAAGATCGAACATCTCAGGACAGTTCAGGTATGTAGTGTGATTGTGAATGTATAAGTCTACTGCTTTGTAACGCTAACATACCCAGCATCTATACAAAACAATGTAAAGCCTGAGAAGCCACTTACTGCTCTCCTGTGTTTATTTCATATTAGTTTTATATTATATTTGAAATGATTTTTTGTGACTATGAAAGGAATTTTCCCTTTACTTCACCATCCATCCGCTATGAAGTCATTTGTGGCAGGATAGCTAGAGATAGTGAAAGGGTATAAGGCTTGAAGTCAGAAGGGCTAAGGGCATGAGGACGTGAAGTCAGTCGAACTAGGTTTTAATCAGACTTTCCCAGCTTTCCATGTTTAGATTGATTGGAGCAGTCCATGATCTCTGCGGATTCTCATTTCCTTTTCTGCCAATAGAAAAACAAAGACTGCTGGATTAGCTTCGTGGAATCCTAGACTATGCAATGCATGAACTATAAATTTTGAAAGTGTTTCTTTTTCTAAAAACGTTATGAATCATTTATAATTGCTAACATCATGTTAAATGAACAATATCAAGCTGAATATCTCTGATATTCATATTTTTCACCCAACATAATAAGCAGTACTATTTTCATTAGCTTAATAATGGACTTACTTGCAAGCAATCTTTAGAGCTAATATTTAAGCCTAAAAGAAAATGGATAATGTCTTTTCTTTTATAAAATGATTCAATCAATGATGGAAATGTCAAGAAAACAGTTAAATGGCTTTGCTTAACTTGGTTTCTTCAAAAGCAAGACTGTCATATTTATTCTAAGACACTGGAGCCTACTATTTAGGTCTTTGGGTGTTACTGACTCTCAAGAAATTTGACACTTTAGATTTACTGTTTGTATGCAGTTAGCATTATTGATATCAAGATCATCACATTTTATTTAATTGTTATAATGTCCCTAGAATATGTGTTGATACTTTTTGGCAATGTAGGAAGCAAGATAGAGACTTTAAATTACTTCTGCTTATCATTATTACATGATACATAGGTATGGTGTAATTATAAGTCTATCTTCCTCTTTTATTTCCTTCCTTTATATAAAGCTTGCTTTGATGTTAGATTTCATTTTACATTGTGAATTAGTCTATTTCAAAAGCACATACTATTTTGTCAACACAGATTTTTCCAAGCAATGAACATTATATCTGTTATGAAGTATAAACATGTTAATAATGAGATAACAAAAAAAAACAAAAAGACACTCATGCTGATTCTTAAAAGAATGCTTATGGGATGTATGTTGAAAGGTAGAAACTTATTCTTCAAATGGCAGAAAGGCCATGGACTTGTGTCAGCTTGAATTGTTTTCTCCAGAGATGAGCAAATACTATAATTACAAACCCAAGCCAAAAAACAGGGATGCTTCTCCAGGGCAGCAGAAACAAAGATCGGCACCACTTACCAGTCAACCCAGAGAAAATGGTAAGTTTCGAGTTCCTTTTGTCTCCTCCTGATGGACTGACGTGAATGTAGAAACCATGCTATTGTCAGAAACAATGCTTATTCTTACCTTCTTAGGGGAGTAAGGTGTATTTGCTCTAAAATAATATTAGGAAGTAAAATCAAGTTACAGGTGATGAGATAACTTATCATAAAAACAAATAAAACAAGAATTTTGGGGGTAGTCTACCTTTAAGGAAGAATATCTATAAATAGACCATAGAAAAGAAATTTCTTAAACCATCCAGTTATCTTCTTAAACATTATAGGAGCAATAAATTGTAGCGCTTTTCAAAGACCTTTTTGAATGTAGTGAAGACAGTCTCTACTCAAACTGTTTCAAGTCAGAGTTTTACTGATATTATAGTTTGTGGTGTTTTATGCAAAGCCTGGTGTGGTCACGCATGCCTATTAGCCCAGGATTTGGTAAGTAAAGGCAAGAGAATTGGGAGGTCAAGATTATCTTTAGCAGTAAAGAATTCAAGGTCAACTTGGTTAAATGAGACACTGTCTCAAGAAATAAGATAGAATAAGTTATTTCAAAAGATATATTGCCAGGTGGCGCACGCCTTTAATCCCAGCACTTGGGAGGCAGAGGCAAGTGGATCTCTGTGAGTTCGAGACCAGCCTGGTCTACAAGAGCTAGTTCCAGGACAGGCTCCAAAAACCACAGAGAAACCCTGTCTCGAAAAATAAATAAATAAATAAATAAATAAATAAATAAATAAATAAATAAATAAATATTAAAAACTAAACCATATGTTATTAACAAAAGTTATTTTAAAGAGGTCATTTTAGGAATTCAATCATGTGATATGTAATAAACAAAGGTGTAGGCTTAAGTAATTGTGTACATAATGTTGAAAAGGCATTGAATAAAATTCAGTACAAATTCTCATTTTGAGGCATTGATCTTCAAATTTCTATAAACATAAATGATTTTAATATATGTATGAATGTACAAACACATAGAATATATACAAAAATTCCTTATTTTACTATTAAGTATTAGAAGTATTTCTCAATGTAATTATTAAAATGCAAAAATAATGTTACCAACATTGTTGAACATTATTTTGATGCTGCTAAATTACTATTCAAGAAAAATTTAAAATGGAATATTGATCACATCAGAATTTAACACCAAAACTAACATATGTGTAAAAGTTATAAATCAAGATATTTGAAACTTGCAAATAGATACACCCTAAATATTAAAATTAGTGGCAATAGAATTTGAATGTAGACTTGACTAAAAATTAAGACACAAATTGAAATCAATTACTTTTCTAAATAAATTATAAACAAATTATAATGAAAGAAAATTTTCCAAAGATTTTTAAAAGGTAAAAATAAACTTTAATATTAAAAGTAATTTAGAAATGACTTTGTTACTTCAAGTTGCTAATAAACAAAGAATAAAGCACACAGAATGGAAATAAAAAGTATTCAAAGATAAAGACAGCATCTTACAAATAAAATCTTTGTGTGTATACACAGTTAGCATGATTCTATTGGGATGTCAATAGACCATAGTTCAATAGTTTCACATTCTTAAAAAGCTCATTTTAAAGTTTTTGCTAAAAATTATTGTTATTATTTTTTATTTCTGTGTGTGTGTATGTGTGTGTGTATACACATGTGAGTGCAGGTGCTCATGGCGGACTGAAGAGGTGTCAATTCTCCACGTGGTGCAAGCACGGGTTGTTGTGAGTTTGGAACAGAACTCTTGAAGAGTAGTGAGCACTCTTAACTGATGAGACAACTTTTCAGTCCTTCATTTAAAGTCTTAAGGCATAAATGAAGTGCTATCATACCCATACTTCTCTGGAAAGGAAATGTACTGTCAAGGATTGGCACTATGAACTATTCAAGCATTTCATGAAAGTGTGAAAGTTGCCTATGTATGCAATGGGCAGGATGATTGGCAGATGTGTGAATAATGAAAATAGAGTAGAGCCATAATATGCTAATGAATGCATTTTATATAAGTGACAGGTCACAGGTATATTCTATAAGGAGTGCAGAAAAATTCAGTGTGCATTCTACAACGACTATCTCCTGTAAATCTCATTTTGACAAATACCATATACACAAAAATTAAATGAATCAAATAACAGAAAATAAATGACATCATTATAAGTGCATTTTATTCATATCTAAAAAATGTGACTCATAAAGGGAAGTTTGTTCAAATTAACCTGGAAAAATTAAGCCATTTCCTCTCTGTGAAGACATCATAAATATAAATAATATCTGAAACATATGCTCACAAAATATATGACAAGGTATGGTATTTACCAACTGAGAAGTATGTCAGTACTTTAAGTAACTTGATTAAAAAAAAGAAAAGCACCAAAGAAATAAAAAATATTTAAATATAAGTAAAAATTAATTAACTTATTCACAAAAGAAAATAAAAACAAAAATATTGCATACTACAGTTATACATTAAAACATATAAATAATCTTAACTACCAAGGAAGATGCAACTGAGCAGAGAATTTAATTTATTTGTGCTACTGTTAAATTAGTGTAAACTTTGTGTACTGAAATTTTCAATCTTTAGAAAAATGTAACATGGAAATACCCTTTTATACACTAGGTATCATAAGAAGAAACTTCCCTATAAGAGAACTCAAAAGTGAGTATGAAATATATTACCATTTCTAACACTAAAACTTAACATACAATTGAAATAATTTTCTCAGTGGATATTTCAATTGTTAAGCCTATTAATAGGCTTTGTGCAAATATCAATGAAAGTGAATACAAGCATTTATGCTATTTGATCTCTTTATATGTCAGAATATAGCACAATCCTTAAATATTGTCCTAACAAAAAACATGCAGAATATTTTTCTAATACCTGAAATGCAATAAGAGTATTCTCTTATAATGATTATAAGAGTATTCGTATTTAATAACTCTTGTGTATCTACATAGAAAATGAAATTGAGAAATGTGATTTATTCTCAGAGCAGAAAATAGTGCCATAATCTGTAATCCCACCACTGAGGATCTGAGGATTGAGAACTACAAATTTGTCTACAGTCTAGGGTTACATAGATAGACTTTGTCTAAAAAACGTTTAAAAAACTTGCAAAGAAACATGGGAATTGATACCACATCTTGTACTCTCATATTTAAGTGATTTGTAGAGTATTTAGGCTGTTTGAGGAAAAGAACTTTCTTTACCTTTTCATAAAGATGCATATGCGCATTTATACTAAACAGAAAACCACTAGGGTCGTTAGACTTCCTTTTGCTCTGACTTTTCCTGTTTTTCTTTGACAGTATCTCCATTGTTCGTTAGCCGAATCATTGCTGCAGCCATGGCAATACGCTTCCTCATTATCACTATAATATGGTTTGCCATTTTCATAACTTGTAAGTTAATCAATGGGGTGTAATATGTTACCTTGATTAGACTTCAGAAACACACCGGGAACCATAAAGATGGCTCCGCCAGATAAAGATATTTGCTACATAAGACTAACAAACTGATTTCGATCCCCAGAAACCTCAGAAAGGAGGAAGAACTGACCCCACAAAGTTGTTCTTTAACCTTGATACTTACTCCATGTCACATAGGTGCCCTCACACGCATGCCTGCCTACAATCACAGGGCACACACACACACACACACACACACACACACACACACTTTAAGAAGTAAAAGATAAAACAAGCATAGAAGCACACACAGCAGCAGCAATAGTGAAAGCATTTTTATCGTAGTGTTGCTGTTCTAAAAACATAAAAGTCACTTTCATTTGCAGTAGAAGTTACTAACTTTTAAAAATTATAATTATCTTGATAGTGTTATGCAACAACGAGGTTCCAATTTCTTCAAGAGGTGAGTGAATCTTTTTAATATTAAACACAAATTGGAGGCACCTATATATACCAGGATTTAACACATAGTCAAAGGCATTCAAGAGAGAAAAATTAAATTTTGGGGTTCTGTCTATAGTTCACTCTAAGCCTTATTGTTTTTAACTTAGGGGGCCATGTAATAGGCTGAAGATAGTCATGGTTCTACATTCCTTTAATTCTATCACTTCACAGCTTAAGGCCAGAGGGTCAAGAGTTAACTGCCAACCTTGGCTTTGTAGAGATTTCAAAGCCAGAATAGGTTCCATGAGGCCCTATCTGAAAACAAAAATGAATCAATGATAGTTTTTACTTCATCTTATTATATTTTACCTTGACGTGTGTGGTGTTATCTCTTAGAAGCCTGTTCTTTTCTAATGAGAGACAGAAAGGGAGTAGATCTGGAGGAAAGGAGAAGTGGAGGAAGTAGAAGGAGTAGGGGAGGGAATATGTTGTATGAAAATATTAATTTTCAGTATATTAAAAACATAATAAATAAAAATAATCTATTAAAAAAAAAGAAAAAATAACGAATAGTAGAAAATTCTTAATTTGGGGTCTCTCCTCCCTTTATATTATAATGGTGCAATTATTTAGAATTTCAGAGTTGTAACAGGAAGTGTGTTTAACTTGCCTAGATAAAATCTGCTTCATTAGTCAGATGTGCACAGACCTCATCTGTTCTCTTTCTAGACAGTCACTGTACCCAATGCCCTGACGACTGGATATGTTATAGAAACAACTGCTACCAGTTTTTTAATGAGAGCAAAAGCTGGAACCAGAGCCAAGCTTCGTGTTTGTCTCAAAATTCTACCCTTTTGAAGATATACAGTAAAGAGGACCAGGTTGCATATTTAATTCCTATTAATTCTTTTTTTAAGTATTTAAAATAATTTTAAAATTTGAATATATTTTGGTCATATTCTTCCCCTCTTCCAAATCTTTCCATAATGGAGAGAAAAATTTTTAAATGGCAAATCTTTACTGAAAATGAAAATCTTGTCTGCCAGCATCCACAATGATCAAACCAATATACACAGTACTATGAAAGTTTAACTGTAACATGATAAACAAAACTTTCCTGGCTGTGCTGAACACACATTTGCTGCCTTTTACATAGTAGCTGTTTAAATTCTCACAGTAGCATTTCTAAGCAGATGAGAACAAGATACTCAAGAAATTTTGAACAGGATCAATATAGTAAATGTCCAATCTTATGTGTACCTTTTCCAGGAACATGAACTCTGTGTCCATATCTGATGAAAGATCTTCAGTAAGAATCTCTCTAAGGTTGAACGTTTCCATCCTGTCAGTTAACCCAACATATCCACTATGCATAGAGTTGTATGAGGATAACTTCAGAGTTCACCTTGTATTATCTTCAACCTAGTCAAAAGTTTATGCTTTAAACCACAACACTATCAATATGTCCTAACTCTAAGATGCATAAAATGAGTGTGTATTGGGAAGATAAAGTGGAATTCTGTACTTACTAATTTATTAATGGCACTTTTGAGTTTCATTTCTGGGTTTGTTTCTTGTTGTATTGATGAAATGCAATTACTTGGTGGACAAGACAGAATTGCTACCTGTGCAATCACTCAATTCATGATGAAACTCAAAGTAGAGACTGAACCAAAGTGGAAATTGTACATTGGTGTAAATTCAGTTAAATATGTTAGATTATTAGAATTAGAAGTGACTCAGAATAGCTTAAAGAATGATTTGACTTCTGAACAGAAATCACCAAATCAGGCTTGTGTAAATATAAATAAATGACTCAACCTTTTGTGTTTTATAATTTATAAGATTAGAACAGGCAAACACACATGAGGTAGGTAACTCCCTTGATCATGAACACAGAACATACAAGAAGCATGAAGGCGTTCTAATACCCACTCCAGACAATACTGATAAAAAAAAAATTGAGGAAGTAGGAGCTGGAGAGAGGGCTCATAGAACTAAAGTATTTCTTTTGAAAACTTGAGAACCAAACATGAACCCCACAGCATCTATTAGGCATTGCTGCACATGTCTGTAACCCCAGCACTGGGGTTAGAGACAGGTAGATCCCCCAAGCTCCTGGCCAGACAGCATAGGCGAAAAGGTGAATTCTTACTTCAGTGAGGGATCATGTCTCAAGGCAATAGGCAGGGAGCAATGGAGAAAGATACCGGGTATCTTGTCCTACCTCCTGTGTGAAGAATGAGCTGCGACACACTCATAAGCATACACAACACACAACTCTTGACCACCTCCAAACAGAGAAAACTTAAGAGGGTCAAGATACTTTGCCAGCACCTGTGGCTAAATGAGAATTAGGCTGGTCACTGAGAAATGCATCCTTCCCCAAGTGGGAAGTGAGTAATGTGGCTTTGTGTTTCTAATGTTCTGAGCACGGGTTTCATCTGTACTTTCCTTGTGGTTTCTAATAGGATTTCTTTAAGCTGGTGAAGTCGTACCACTGGATGGGACTATTCCAAACGCAAGCAAATGGCTCTTGGCAGTGGGAAGATGGATCCACTCTCTCATCCAACGAGTGAGTCTCAAACCAGCAGGGTTTGAGCTGGATATTTGTTCGGTTGTCCATATGAGAACTCATTTTTTCAGTTTCATTCTCACAATCTGATGCATTTTCATAGTCTAATAGATTTAGAAAAAAATATTTAGAGCCTAAATTTAAAGCAGAGGGAGATGGCAGAGTAGTATAAATTGATGACTATGGACTAAATACTGAGAAAGACATAGATCATATTATGTCCATTTTATAGATACAAGGCTGAAGCCTTTGTGACTAAGATGATGCAGATAAAACTGACATACAAGAAACTGTACTCTCCCATCCCAAGAGGCCTCCTTTCTGTTTTTATGCTTACAGGTATTTTAAAATATGAAGTAACTATTGCTAGCTGTAGTCACTCTATTGTAGAACAACAGAAAAGATGTAACAAATGCATGAGGCCCAGATTTGCTAAATACCTTTATATGATCAATATGTGACATTTACATGTATCACATTATGAGGTTATGCCTCACAAATACAAACAATTATAGTGACAATTTAAAAATTAATAATAATAATAGATGCTTTAATGTGCTTGGGTTGAAACTCACAGAGAAATTTTCTATTAGAAATGTCCCTGCAGGGGAACCCTGATTGCTCTTTGGGCTGACGAGGGAGGGGGACTTGATTGGGGGAGGGGGAGGGAAAGGGGAGGCAGCGGTGGGGAAGAGACAGAAATCTTTTAAATAAATAAATAAATAAATAAATAAATAAATACAATAACAAGAACAAAAATTTAAATATATATGTAACTTTTATTTTTACTATCTGAATTGGCTCTATTTTGTATGTGTGTAAGTTAAGAAGGCTAGATGCCAGTTCAAGCACTAGGGGTAAATCCTGGTCCCACTGCCAGTGGCCCTACAGACTGTTCAGGCCTCACAACTGTCTCCCACATTCAGTTGGCTTAATTTGGTTTCATTCAGGTTTACCCCCTATCAGTCCAGAGTCAATCAGCTCTCACGAGCACAGGTCGGCTGTTTCTGTGGATATCACCATCATGGCCCTGACCCCTTTGCTCATATTATTGCTCCTTCCTCTCTTGGGCTGACCTCAGGTAGCTTGGCCCAGTGCTTCACTGTAGATCTCTGTGTCTGCTTCCATCAGTTGTTGGTTGAAGGTTCTATGATGACAATTAAGGTAGTCATCAGTCTGATTACAGAGGAAGGCCAGTTTAGGCGTCCTCTCCACTGTTGCTTAGAGTCTTAGCTGGGGTCATCCTTGAGGATTCTTAGGAATTTCCCTAGTACTATGCTTCTCCATAGCCCTTTAATGGCTCCCTTAATCAAGGTATCTCTTTTCTTTCTGTCCCTCACTGTCCACATTCTTTTTGGCGGGATACCTTGCTCAGCCTGGATACAGGGACAGGACCTTCGTCTTGCCTCAAAGTGAAATATCAGATTTTGTTGATTCCCCATGGGAAATCTTACCATCTCTGAGAAGTGGATAGGAAGGTGTGGTTAGGAGAAGGTGGAGGAATCAGGAGAAGGGGAGGGAGTGGGAACAAGGATAGTTACGCAAAATGAGAAAAGATTGTATTAAAAATTCTTAATAAAAATGAAAAAATAAGAGGGCTAAACATGGTACTAAAATAATGCAAAATAATTTTGAAATTCCCACATTCAAATTCTATAAGATTCCATGTTTATATCCTTCATCAAGCCAAGTCTGCATGTCACATGACATTTTCTCTTTCCTAGGTTAACATTGGTAGAAATGCAGAGAGGATCCTGTGCTGTCTATGGCTCCAGCTTTAAGGCCTACACAGAAGATTGCTCAGCTCTAAACACATACATCTGCATGAAGAAGGCAGTGTAAGGACTTCATTAACTATCTTGGCAACAGCCAGGACAAGAGAAGGGATTATACCGGGAGAAACTGGGACTAAAAGAAAGAGACCGAACATACATGCAAGACAAAACAGCAGGTCTTCTCCTTCCAGAAACAAGCCACAGAACAATTAGATGAACATTCTGTTTCCCATAAAACAAAGGACACTAACTCAAAGATCATCAAGGCGGCCATTCACACCTTTCTCCATTCTGCTTAGAATGTGGGGAAGGAGGCAAGGAGGAGCCTCGATTTCAAAATGGGAGCAACAGATCAAACCGGACTTGCTGAACATAGCTGACAATGAGGACTACTGAGAACTCAAGAACAATGGCAATGGGTTTTTGATCCCACTGCATGTACTGGCTTTGTGGGAGCCTAGGCAGTTTGGATGCTCACCTTACTAGTCCTGGATGGAGGTGGGTGGTCCTTGGACTTCCCACAGGGCAGGGAACCCTGATTGCTCTTTGGGCTGACTAGGGAAGGGGACTTGACCGGGGTAGGGGGAGGGAAATGGGAGGCAGTGGTGGGGAGGAGGCAGAAATCTTTAATAAATAATTAATAAATTAATAAATAAAAAATAAATAAAAATTTTTAAAAAATGGGACCAACACATGAGAGAGCTGAGAGAGTAGAAGAGGGCAACCCCATAGCACTCTGGCAGTCTAAACTCCAGCACTGTAGAAAACAGCACACTGAGTGGGGCTTCAGCGGTACCACAGGATAATCGGCACTGTTGCCAGCAATGTTGCTATCCCAGTGGTTCAAGAAAGTGGGTTTCTGTCTGGGCAGGCACGGTTTGATTAAGGGAAAGAAGGACTGCTTTGTGATCTTGAATATTGCATGGAGCTCATCTTCCTAATTTTTGTGTTTTTTTGCGACTCCCCTATCCCTTTTTTCTTGTGTTTCCTGTTGAAATGATAATGTCTATTTGAAGACCAGCCTCACCATTGTATTTTGAAAATACATGGCTTGTTTCACTTTACAAGTGACAACTAGAAAAGAAGGTTGACTCTCTGATTTGTGTATGACTTGGGTCAAATTTAGATGAGTCCTTGGATCTGAATTTTGAAAGGTGATGCTGGAAGGAGTTAAGATGCACATATTGGCTATGTGGGAGCCTAGACAGTTTGGATGCTCACCTTACTAGACCTGGATGGAGGTGGGAGGTCCTTGGACTTCCCACAGGGCAGGGAACCCTGATTGCTCTTTGGGCTGACGAGGGAGGGGGACTTGATTGGGGGAGGGAAATGGGAGGCGGCGGTGGGGATGAGACAGTAATCTTAAATAAATAAATAAATAAATAAATAATAAAAAGATGGAATGAGTGAGGAAGTGAATTTCTGGGACCATTAGGTATAATGTTATACACTGAATGTTTGTGCACATCCAAACTTCATATTTGAAATTCAACTCTTGGTATTATTTCAATACTAGGAGACAAGCATTGGAACATAATGTTTTAAATCACAGGAGTGAAGCTTTGTGTGGGGGATTGTCTCTTAGGAAAAACACCCACAAAGTCTTCTCTCTCTTCTTTTGGCCACAAGAGAGTACAGGAAACTTCTGATGTATGACCTATAAGGTACCCCTCAACAAACCCAACAGATGCAGTTACCTTGGTCTTAGATTTCTAGGCTTCATAATTGTGAGAAATGGATTTCTGTTGTTTACAACTTGTCTGGTAGTTTATAATAGTACCCCTAAAAAGCTGAAACTAGAGAGGAAGAGAGCCAGATATTAGGTCTTACTGTCATTTAAAAAGGAGTGGCTCAGCTGTTAAAGGCTAGGCTCACAACCAAAAAGGAGTGCTGGGGAAGTGAGCTCAGAGGTGAAAAGCACTGGGTGCCATTCTCATCACCTACTTGAGAGCTCACACCATCTGTGACTCCAGTTCCAAAGGATCCACCTGCAGCACATGGTGTACATACCTGCATGAAGACAGCACTCGCACAGAAAATAAGAATAAATCTAAAAGTAGAAAGTTTTATAATATTGTTGTTTAATATTTTGCAGCATGGAAAACATTCTAAATCAATAGAGAGGTAAAAATAATTCTATACAATGTCATACATAAGTCAAATGGGAAATAGCAACAGAAAAGCAACCATAGGACCTGGCTTTCTAAGAGGTTATAGCGAACGTGAGGAGCCTTAGATGTCTGTGTTAAGTTTTTTTGTGACTCATTAGAAACATGAGAGTTAGCTTAGGTATCATCTGATTGAGGAATATCCCCAAAGGCCACAAGTTTGTGCAAGGAATAACAAATAAGACTCATACTTTACAGAGTAGCAGCAAGGATCCTTTCTATCTTTACCTCTAAGGAGATGGTGGATACAATCCTCCATGAATCATCTGCAGCCACACAAGATCCTTCATTTAAGCTTACAGCCCAATGTCTAGCTAACAATATGTGCAGTAGAATGAGTCTGAAGTTCAAGGTAAATAAGAGTCTAGCTGCAACACTTCATTTTACGAGTCTAGTGTGAATCCATTGTGCAATAGAGCCACTTTTTTTTTTTTAGAAAATAATTCCAACTCGCCCCTTAAGAATTTTTCACACATAGCCTGAAAAGTAAAACAGGAATTACAAAACAGGGATACTAGAGGCTAAGGGCAATTATTAGCTAGCAGCAGTATCTTAGGATCCAAGTGACACAGGCAAGGGGTTGTATTCTGTTTCATTGAATAATTAATGAAAGTCAATCTTAAACTCACAAGAGAAAAAAATAGGATGTTAAAATGTTCCAGACATTGTATTCAATTTAAAGATCCAAAAAGTGACCAATAAAATCCCTGTTACTTCCCAGTACTCAATTTAGACAGCCATAAAACATAAAAGCCAGACTAGCATGCAAGGAAGGCTGATACAGTAGGCTATAGAGGAGTGAAATTTTGTTCTGATAGCAGTGTCAGTAACTTTACCAGAACTAGGGGTTTTAAAAAGACATTTTAATGAAGAAAGCATGAGAAAAATGAATAAAGTATTTAGGTATATTTCATGATGTGCTTAGAAAATTACTTGATATTTCTGTAGTAGTCACCTCCAGTTTCATGCAGAGAGTGTTATACTTGGTCAGGAAGTTGAGGTAATTTTGAAATGTAAACAGATTCCACTGTGGCTGGGGGAAAGCCAACTTAACACACTGTGGTTATGTTTGAATAGATAAGCTCTCCAGATAAGTGAGTCACAGGCATGAAGGCAGTTGCCATGAGATGTAGTCGGTACTTTTCTACAGGATCATTGGTTTCCCAGTAATAATCTAGAGACATTATTAATTATGAAACCTTGGCCTTAACTTGTGCTTGTTCCTAACTAGTTCTTTTAACTTAAATTAACCCATGATTTCATTCTATGTTTTTTACATGGTTATCTTTACTCTGCATGCACCTTTCTGCTTCCTCTCTGTCTTGCTGGCAACTCCTCCTTTCTCTTTCCAGAGACCTTTCTGTCCCCAGAGTTCTTGCCTAGCCTGTTCCTGACTAGCTAATGGCCATTTAACTCTTTATTAAATGGTGACACATCTTCACCCAGTGTAGAGGAATATTGCAAAATAATTAAAGCAGTTTAAATCTTTACCCAAATTTCCAATACTATGTGAAGAAGCTGCCTTGAAATTTAGGACTTCTTGTAGCCCCAGATGAAGAGACAAAGCATTCATTTGACAATGAGTTTCTCTTGAGTTCTATGGAATGATTGGAATAGAATTGACCCTGATCGTA